CGAAACAGAGATTAGAGAAGAGAGCTTCGCCGCCTCTCAGCTCCGCCGAATATCACGGTGGCTAATACAGAAGGAAAAAAAAAAACCCAATAACATGGCCAACCACTAACCCTCAAAATAACAAAAATAAAAAAAACCAACCTTTTCTCTCTCTAAAAATAAATCCTTTTTTTATTTATTTCCGTTTTCTCGGCGCTTTTCCGTTATTGATTTTGCTTCTCAGGCGGCGATATGTCGGCGGCCGGAGCGACTCCTTTGGCCGTTGCACCAATCACTGCCGGACCCACCACCACACGCCGTCGTGTCGGAGATTCCTTAGAAACCACCTCCGAACGACCCTCTATTTCCTCCGATTACTGCAACACAGTCAACATCACCGTCTCTCCTGATTTAGACGACGGAGATACCATTTTACAAGGCGGCGCGTGTTCTTCACCTTCCTCGATGGGTTCTTCGTCTAGCGGATCCCATTACCACCACGATCATCACTACCATCATCATCACCCGACGATTCGGTACCTTCTTCTCCGTAAACTACGTTTGCCGTTTCTATGTGACGGTGGTGGATCGACGGTTGTTGTGGGTCAAGGGCTATGTTCAGGGAGAAACGTGGGCCGTCGGATCTTGGGTCTTCTCATGATTCTCGTCGTTGCTTCGCTTTTTCTTAGAGTTTCTCTTATGAGTGGTCGAGTCGTTGACCAAGCGCATCGTAGGGATTTGAATGAGCTCGTTGTTGTACGGTCTTTACATGAAGATTGGTCTATGGCTCAACGCGCAATGACCGAGAATGTTGCTTCTTCTCAACCAATGCTCGTCCTTGAAAAGCTTCCCGTGAGTTATCTTCTTCTTCTTCCTTTTGATTTTCCCGAGAAAAAAAAGAACAAATTTTTAGCTTTTTATGTTTGGGTTTTTTTTTTTCTTCGTGGTGATTGATTACCAATCGAGGAAGCATAACTGCAATTAGTTTCGTCGTTTGATCAAAGTCTTGTTTTTTTTTTTTATCAATGCGTGATGGATTTACATTTACTCTGTTTTTTTTTTCCCGAGAAAATCAGAAGGGAAAAAAGCTCTGAGTTTTCTGATCGAAACTCAGACCATTTCTCGATCAAAGATCGGATTTTTAACGGAAACTCGAGCTCTCTGTTCTTTCACTTTCTCGGGAAAATTCTAATAGGAAAGTGGGGTAGAGGTCGTAGGATATATACAATGTGGAATTCTCTATCTGATTGCGTCACTGGTAGATTAATTTAACTAATCATATTGGCTTTTACCAATCAAAATTCGTTTGCATTTGCTGAGATTTCGTTATCTGAATTTGACGAGCAAATAGTCAAATGGATTTGTGCAGCCTTTGTTTTGTTTTGTGTGTATCACCCAATCACCATTTTCTACAGTTTACATTGACCTTCTACTACTATATTGCTGGAATCCTTTAACTATAGTACATTATTGTAACCGACCCATGATTGAATATTCATTCCAAAAAAAAGTCCTGAGATTTTGTCTCTTTGTGTACAAAATCTGGTGAATGGTGAGTCTTTGATTGTTGGAGAAGACTAAAAGGAAAGATCTTTACTGATTAATTCCTTTAAGGTTTTGTAATCAATATTTTATCTTTAAGTTCCAAGCAATGCATTTATTGTTTGGAGGACTGTAATTTATGAACTTTGACTAAGATTTAGCTTTTGTTTGAGTTACAATTTTAGTCTTGCAGATTGAGAGTGATCTAAATCTGTTTCTGCAATCATAAATCAGTATTTGATCTTCTGATGATTTGGCTACGCTTTTTTTATAATAGATTCCGAAAATATGGCAGAAGCCTGAAAGTGGAAATTTTCGCCAGTGTGTGGCGCGTCCTAGGAACCGTTCAAGTAAGCTGTTAACTTGCATTTCATGATTCTTTAAACTAGAGTTGCAGTTCCTAGTTTTTTTTTTTCTTCTGAAATTGTGTTTGGTTTAGGGCTGCGTAGGAAAACCAACGGTTATCTTCTAGTACACGCGAATGGCGGATTGAATCAGATGAGAACCGGGGTGAGTTCATGAGTCTAAGGATTTTACGTAGATTTTGATCTCTGGTTTTCTTACTTTTCTTTGGTGATATTCAAATCAATTGTAGATATGTGACATGGTTGCTGCTGCAAAGATTATGAATGCAACTCTTGTTCTTCCTCTCCTCGACCATGAATCTTTCTGGACTGACCCGAGGTTTTTATTTTATTTACTAGACACAACATGATATCCCTCACCAACAAGTAAAGATATAGAATGATTCTTTTGTAATTTGCAGCACTTTCAAAGATATTTTTGACTGGAGACACTTCATGAACGTATTGAAAGATGACATTGACATTGTCGAGTACTTGCCTCCTCGGTATGCTGCCATGAGACCTCTCCTCAAGGCTCCTGTTTCTTGGTCCAAGGTCTGTGCTTTTCTCTGTGTCGTTCGCAAGAGGATTTTAGCGGCTTTTGTGGTTAATAAGTTCTGTGCTCTAATGCAGGCTAGTTACTACAGAAGCGAGATGTTACCGTTGTTGAAAAAACATAAGGTGGTAAAGTTCACACACACCGATTCACGACTGGCCAACAATGGCTTGCCACCATCAATCCAACGGCTGAGATGCCGTGCTAATTACCAGGCATTAGGTTACTCCAAGGAGATTGAGAAATTTGGGGAAGTTCTGGTTAACCGGTTACGAAACAATAGTGAGCCCTTCATTGCTCTGCACTTGAGGTAGAGTAATATTTCCTTTTGCATCCCACCTTATTTTTCCGTGACACCGGATTAGTTGAAAAAATTGTTTGTTTGAAATGCAGATACGAGAAAGATATGCTTGCGTTTACAGGATGCAGCCACAATCTCACAGCTGGAGAAGCTGAAGAGCTGAGAATCATGAGGTACAATGTTAAGCATTGGAAGGAGAAAGAGATTGACAGCAGAGAGAAGCGGATCCAAGGCGGTTGTCCAATGTCTCCCCGGGAAGCAGCCATATTTCTTAAGGCAATGGGATATCCGTCCTCCACGACTGTATACATAGTTGCTGGTGAAATTTATGGAGGAAACAGTATGGATGCTTTCCGGGAAGAGTACCCAAACGTCTTCTCTCATTCAACTTTAGCTACTGAAGAAGAGTTAGAGCCCTTTAAACCATACCAGAACCGACTAGCTGCGTTGGATTACATTGTGGCCCTCGAAAGCGACGTTTTTGTGTATACATATGATGGAAATATGGCTAAGGCGGTACAAGGACACCGGAGATTCGAAGGGTTTAAGAAGACAATCAATCCAGACAGGTTTGAATCATTATCATTCCCTTTTGCAGTCTTTGAAACATTTTTACCGATATTCGAGTTCCCCCGTGAATGGCAGGTTAAATTTTGTTAGACTGATTGATCATTTCGACAACGGTATCATGTCTTGGGGTGAGTTTTCTTCAGAGGTGAAGAGATTACATAGAGGCAGGATAGGAGCGCCTTACGCGAGACTTCCCGGTGAGTTCCCTCGGCTAGAAGAGAATTTCTATGCAAATCCACAACCAGATTGTATCTGTAACAAGTCACAACCTGATCAACTCGGGAAATCAAGCCAAAGAACAGAGTCAAGATAGAGAAGAATGT